TCCCTGAGAGCTATTAATTAAAAAAAATACTGATATTGAAATTTTAGTGATGGCAAAACATTCCCAATACTTATGTATAAAATTTAATTTTCAAAATAACAAGAGCTAATACTAATTTTAATCCTCGAAGTTTGACCAAATTTTAGTTTTGGTTCCTATAATTTCAAACTGTGAATTTTGATCATTTAAGTTTATTATGTTTGAAACATTGGTTAATGTTGGAATTAACAGTGTTAATTTTGTCTTCGTGGCACTGACACCGTTAAGTTTGCTAGTGGGGCACGCCGACTGGGCATTAACATCCAACTTAGAAAGCAATCGTCCAACTTATTTATTTATATTATTGATCTTAATACACACATATAGTTGTTGGAAAAAAATAAGAAGAAATACACACATATATATACATATATATATATATGATATAGTTATGAGATCATTCTCAATTAGCTTGTTTGAATAAGCCTATGGTTACTTGTCCTCATTCCATATTAATTTATTGAGTAATTAAGTCGTTAGGATGGGACTATATATATGAATGCCAGCTGGGGCTGCAACTTGTGTAATCACTATTTCATTATCATCTTCGTAGATGCAAAATCCTACCTTCTCATTACTTCAATCTTCTAATGCTCTCACATTTTAGAAAACATTTATTTTGACTATTACAGCAGGTATGATGTTAAGTTCCACTGAATTTTTTTATTAATTCTTTTTTCCCTTTTTTTTTTTTTATAGAAAGGCATTGGTCGATTATTTATAAAGAAAAATTATATGTAGTCATTAAACCTTCAGTACCAATACATTTTTCCCATGTATTTGCATACATACATGCATGGATCTAATACTTGCCAATTTAATTTAGGGTGGACTAAGGTGGATCCAGCACTATAAAAAAAATTTTCATGTGCATATAGCGTCCTAAAATACTTTGGGGTGCATAATCAACACCTTAAAATATATTTTTTAGGTGCACCCAACTCTCTAAATTGTATTTTGGTGCATGGTGCAACTAGCACCATAGATTGTAAGTGAAAAATTGCACGGAAAAAATATTTTAAGGTGCTGACACATATAAACAAATATTTTTGGAGTGTTACATGTACCACAAAAATATATTTTTAGGATACTGGAAGCACTAAAAAAAAGTCCAATCTATCATAATCCTTTAATCTACTAAAACCCTATAATATACTAAAACGTATCCTACCCACCTAAAAAATAATTAATTGCTAGTTATAATTGTGTATGAAATAGTCTTCTATTTTCTTTAGTTCCAAACATCATGATGATATTAATGACAGTATTACACTTGGAGAATTAATATCGATTTTCAAGCATTATTTTTAGGACACCAAAAAGGTTTTGCAAATTTATTAAATGGGAATTAAGAAGAAAACTAAAATTAGAAACTATAACATATTTTGAAAATTTTGGAAATTATTATCATCAAATATATTAAATTAGCTATGCCCTATATATAGATTGAATTTTTTTTCTTTACGTGTCAAACTTTCTCTCCCGTACAAGACATATTGTAAATTGACTAATGCCTAAGATTTAGGTGACAAATACACCAACCATTATGATTTTTCAGATTAAATGTTATTCTCTCAAGTACTAAAAATTTATGAACTAACCTCTTAACTTGAAGCCTCATTGTTCCAGCCATTTTGCACTAAAATCTCTCTCTAATATAAATAATTTGTCAATTTCATCACGCAATCAACAAATGTAATTGTCTCTCTTGGTGGTTGATGATATATATTCTATATCCTGAGTTGTCTTAATCATAAAAGAAATTCTCACCAATAGTTTTGACTCTAGATTTAGCTTCCAGACAACAAACGTATATTAACTTTATTGTGGTGTAACCATGCTGGCATTAATTGTAATTAAAATATTATTTATACTAAGCTAAACTTTAAATTGCACAAAATTTCTTCAACTTGTGAATATATAATTGTATTATATTGATTTTTTGAAATTTGATCATAAGCATAAACTTTTTTAAGTAGTCGGGTATTTTTAATGGCCTGAGGTTACAAGTAACATCAAATTTGTGACCTCCCCCTTATAGAAGAGTTTTTGTATTATTATATCTAATTTTTAATATAAGAACTAGTTAACTAATTTGAGTAGATTAAGAAAACTAGTTAGGTTAGTTATTTGTAATAAATAAATATTGTCTTTCGTAAAATACCATTATTATAAAAATTATCTTGAAAAACAATGGATAAATATGAGAAATAAAGTAGATTGAGGTCTTATATTTAAAATCAAAATAAAAGTTAAACAAGCCCTTATATTACGGACATGATGAGGTAGTATTAAACTATAAGGCTAGTAGCAATAAATATCACATAGAAGCCGGCGGCTTTTTTCCTACGTAAAAAAAATAGTTAATTAACAACGAAATTTGCAAATAGCCAAAAAGACTGTCACGAGTTAATTAGTAATGAAATTCTATCGCTAAATTGATTGGTTGCAAAAATTTCATTGCTAACCAGTAACAATATATTAGTCTTTATTAATAGGATTTTGAATCTAATAGAAAAGGTTAGTTCTTCACGTTATAGTGAACTAAAGTTTGAATCTTCATTGAGAGATATGTTCATATTTAGTGTCTAACAGTACCTCAAACAAGATTATCTCCAATAGGAGGATAACTATGCCCAGTAAATAAAAAAAAAACAATGTATTAGTCTCTTTTTTAAAATTAAATGAACATAAATACTTTCCCATAAACTAAATTAAGAACCTTTTCCTGACCCCACAACGCGATAATCGTGTATTTGTCGTTAGTTTCTGTCGCATTCTTTTTCAGGCCTTTATGCTTATTTGGGACTAATCTTAAATTATCCATGCCATTAATTTATCTTCAAATTTAGTAAATTACTTGAAAATTCAAGTTATATCATTTGTGGGTCAGGTTTATTGAGCTTGTTTGTAGCCGTAAAACAAATTGTTGTGGGAAAGAGCTGGAAATGATTATTGACCTTTGAGCCCAACACTGATGGTGACTCAATAAATCTAAATATCTAATTGACTTGTGGCATTGTGAAACGGGGCCAATCTAGGATCTCAATAATAGAAGATATAATGAGGTCCTTTTATGATATTTTCATTTATATAATTATTAATAGGTATGTTATAACAAAAAGAGTTTTTTTTTCAGTTAATAAATGAGATTTTGTTGGGAAAAAATAATAATAAATGAGATCTTGATGAACTCTTGTGGAAAATAGCTAGTATACTTTTTTAATTATATTATGAATAAAGAGGAAAAAAAAAAAGTAAAACGTCTTAAAAAACAAGAATATAATTCAAAGTTGTCATTTTTTTCTACCGTCTTTATTTTAACATGGGATATATAAATCTACCAAACAAAAAAGGTGAACAAAATTAGTTATAGAAACTAGGAAGATGCCCAAGGTTGTGATCAGCTTTGTCTGCAAGAAATTATTGTTAAAAATTAGCGTTTATGATCGGTTTTGTTTAGTTTATATTGGTTCTCCATTCTAATTCTTGGATTGCTCTAAATTAGACTATGATAGCTCAAATTATCCACTCCAAACCAATTTTTTTTAATAACACTGACATTATTGAAGGCGCAAATATACTATAATTATTTGTCATTTCATAATTAATTTATTCTATATTCTTTGTTTTTTTCTTGGGAAAAAGTAAGACAATTTTTTTTTTCATTTACCTTGAAAATTTGTTTGCAACAGTGAGGTCATGTAGCACTTTTTATTTAGTGGGTAATAATTCTTATTGGAAACATGGGCCCTACACAGACACACACACACTCTTCGATATATTTAATTTTTCAACTTTAATAAGTATACATTTCTGTAAATTCTCTTCTCAGATAATGATGTTGTCACCTTCTTTGGATACCTGCATGTGTGTCCATGGGGGATTTGGAATATATAATTAATCAGATTAATTTTATATTTATTATTCCTAATCATGACACAAAAGTTGATGATATGCTTTGGAAAAGAAGAAAAATATTATTCCTTGGGAGTCCCTGGTTGTAGGTATTTGTATATAATAATTAATTACACCATGTTGTTGATAGTTTAATTAAATATTATGAATTAGTAATACCCAACTGATAAAGTAATTGTTACTATATGATGCATTTAATCTTCTGGGTATCTTTCTAACGTAAAGGAGAAAAAAAGAGAAAATGAAATTAAAGTTCAGGTTGCCTAGCTTTACAGTCAACTGCATCAAACCTTCATCAAGATGTTGGAATCTAAATCAAGCAAGAATATTATTTTCTTCAACTTTATCTAATTATGTAATTAGTTTAAATTATATAATAATCAAAGAAAAATGTACACGCCTGATCCAGTAAATATTATTCACAGCAAAAAGAGAGCTTTCATGCGCTTTTTTGTTGTTTAATTACTTAGGTGAGATTGCTAAATAATCCATCCTGTTTAGTCTTGAAAAGTTATAGCATCAGTAATTTTTCTTTATTGTCGTGATTAAAGATATCTTCAAAATTTATGTGAAAGTTAAAGTCTTTTGACAAAATATTTAGGATATGTTCATCGATCTGATATATTATTATATAATTTTAGTCTTTGAATTACTCTATAATATAATTGAAACCAAATAATTGTACAAATCATCATAAATATTAATTAAGCTGAACCGAGTAGTGTGAAAAAACACTATTATAAAGATGTACAAGTGTCAACCAAATTAAACTCTGTCCCTAAATTATTCCTATTATTGCTCCATTATTAGCATGATTCATCAGTGTTTGAATATACTATAATACTTACCTTGAACTTACAAAACTAAGAGACTGATCTTATCATCACGATTATTATCATTCAACTTTTTATTTTAGTCAAATTAATCTCTGCCAAAAAAAAAAAAGTAAACCGGGGACGAAAGAGAAAAAGGAAAAAGAAGAGGAATAGGAATAGATCACCACTTTGAAATTCTGAAATTTACTTTTTTTATTATTCATTTTTACACACATAGAAGAGAGAAAATTAAACAGTTATTTCTTTCTAGTAATTTTCCCAAAGCAATGGCTCCTCAAGCCTGAAACCACTATCAGATGCACAAAAATTCCAAGAGGAAGAAGAAGAAGAAGCAGAAGAATAAGAACAAAGGCCATTGTTGCCATCTGTGAAAAGATCTGGTAGGTCAAACAAAGCATCTTCTTCCTTAGACGATATTGGAGGAGAAGAAGAATTCTGTTCTTGAGTCGAAGACGAGGCCGGCTCGGCTTCGGCTTGGGCTTCCTCAACTCGACAATGCTTATTAGTAGCCACCTCAAAGACAGTAGAAGCCGCCTTTGCAGCCGCGGCTTGGATGTCCTTCGGAGCTGTGGTGGCCGGCCGGGGCAGCTCCAGAGCCAAGTGAGGGAAATTGAGGTAAGCTGAATGACCTTTAATGGCTAAAGCCGCGACGTCGTGGGCTCGAGCCGCCATTTCTGCAGTAGGGTAAGTTCCAAGCCATATTCTGGATTTCTTTCTGGGCTCACGAATCTCTGAAACCCATTTTCCCCAGTTCCTCATCCTCACACCTCTGTAAGATGGATGCTTATTGTTGTTATTATCATTATTATTATCATCCTTCTCTTCACTTCCGATCTTCTTCTTGTTGTTGCAGCAATAATTGCCATCCTGATCTGAAACAACTTTTGAATCTCTCTTGGCACCTGAATCTGAGTTTGATGATGATGATGAAGAAGAAGAAGAAGATAATGATGATGACGAAGATGAGTTAAAGGTCTCTTGGGCATCACTTTCCATGTTGATACGTTTTCCCAGTAGTCTCACAGAGAGAGAGAGAGAGAGAGAGAGAGAGAGAGAGAGAGATGTTTGATTGATAAGAGCTACAGAAAGAATGAGTGGTAGTGAAGGTGCATAAAAATAGGGAGCTGGGTGCGTTTTTGGCTGTTAATGACTTGAGAAAAAAAAAATATTTCAATTATTGCACATAATGTTTTTAAAGACTTTGACTTATGCATAAATTATTTTTGATATTTAAAGTTTTAAAATATTTTTTCCCTAAACTTGAAAAACTTATAGAGACAGCTCATTAGTGACATAAAATTCAAAGTTCAAGAGAATATATCACCATCAATATATTATTACACTTCCATAATGAAATAATATATACATGGAGGCTGCTTCCATAAATTTGAAAGTTCAAGGTGATTTAATGTCAAATTCTATGGTCAATTAGAAGTTAATCTGTATACTTTAAAGTTGTTTTGATTAATATAATTAAAAAATATGAGGACATATAAAAGTAGAGAAAGAAAATAAAAGAAGAAAAAGAAGGAAAGGAGAAAAAAAGGAGAAAAAGAAAAAGGAATATAGACAAGCAATAGGGCAAACATGATAGGAGTAGTAGCGTACAGTTCAGCTAACTTGTTGCATTCCCACGTGGTAATTGAACATTTCATTATACTATATATTATATTATATTATAATTAACTAAATTGCACCTAAAATGTTACTGAATCTTGGTCTATTTAAGTGTCCATATATCTAGAAAGGCATGAAATTTCCTGTGTGTTGAGGGAATTACATGTGTTTGCACAGTTTAATTAGAGAGGAAAATATTAATTGATTATAGCAAAGGGGTGAGAGTGGTGGGACCTTAATGTTTCAAGCCTTGATTTTCACATGGATGCTCCCTACTTTTTCTTCCTTTATCAAACATATCTAAGCACTTTTTTTTCTTTTCTTTTGTAATTTATATAATTGTGCGGACTCTAGAAGATATTATGCTGGTTTTGATTCATGAATACTTTAATTAATTATATTTTATTTATGACTTATAAGTAGGGCAACTTATTAACTAATCATCATGCATGGTGGTAAAACTCAACCACTTACCCCAAAAAAATAAAACTCAACCCAATTCAGTCACTTAGACCAGTAAACTAGTTCCTACCTTATCATAGCAATTATCAAGAGTTTTGGATGGTTCAATCGGGTTGGTTTATTATATTTTTTTTTCTCTCCTTGTTGAGTCTAAAATGACACAGTTTTGAGTTAAAAAGATAGCGATCCATCGGATTTACAGTTTATTAGCTCTATTTTATTTGGCTAGTGTGATTTATACATGAATATTTCACACACACACAGAGTTTGGAGATTAATGATTGTTTTATTTAAATATTAACCTTTTCAGAAAATATCAATACTCTACAAATTTGATATACGCATAGTACCAATATCTTGATTGAAGTAGTTTTACTAATAAAATTTTTAATCGGGACCTTTCCACAATTTTCCCTATTAATTTTCAATGGGTTCGAATTCTACAATTAATGTGAGATTGTTAAAAATTTTGTTTGTAATTAACCTAATTATTTCTTTAAAATATACTACCATCAAGACCCCACACATTTTTTTAATTATTATGAATATGATATACCAGCAGTTTTCTTTTAAACAAAGCCTTTTTTCTTGGTCAACAATACTTGTATGTGTTTATATATGTTGTATGAGGCATTTGCAAATGACCGACTTGAAATTTTATTAAAAAATCGTATAAAGCAAATATAGTTATCAATTTTTTAATATTTCATTTTTCAGTCGATCAGTCTATGTAATTTATCTATTTAAAAGTAATATGCAGAAAATCGGATTGAAATGATCAGTTTGATTGGAAAATCAAATTAAAGAACCTACCAATACAATTGGTTCAATTAACCTATATAAGATATTTGTGAAAGAAAAATAATTAACCTATAAGATAGGATTGCCAAACTGCTGACCTTTATTCTATAAACTCTTTCATATACTCCTTCGATCAGGTTTTTAATATAAGATCTTTTTTTAGTATAATTTGTATTACAAAATAAGTTTTATATTTAGAATCGGAAGGAGTATAACAATAAAAATAGAAAACTAAATGTGAATCAATTTGAAAATTCTGAATGCCAAAATGATTAAGAAAATATATGGTTGATCGATTTTGAAAATGTTTTTTGAAGATCAAAAGAAAAGAGAGGGCCAGTGGTACGTTGCTATAATGACACCAACACCTTGATATATAGAGGGGAGACTCTGGCTCAAACCTTATGCACAAATGTGAATGTGTGTTTCCCAATTGTTCATATGATAAAATAAAAAAAATTAAATGATAATAAAGAGTAAGTAAAAGTATTTTATTTTGTTTGGTAGACATAGCTAAATAGCTTTAATTTGTTGGAAAGAAGGATTTTCATGTTTATATAGGATAGTTTTTTCATTCTCATCCCATCTCCCTTTTTCATTTTATATGCAACGGCAATAATACTTAGCTATTCAATGCTTATATTCACACACCCCATGCTATATATATTACATTATACTCTTTTTTGGTCCTCTTTATACATGTCATATTCTATTGTATTATTATACCTTTTTTGGTTATATTTATAGAACAGACAAAGAATGAAATTGTTTATCCTATTTGTAAGTCACATCATTAATAAGCATTGTCAAGTTGAGGAAGCCGGAAATGTGCCAAGCCAAGCCGATGGAGCTAACCTCATCTTCAACTCAATGAGAGATCCTCCAAATTTTTCCTTTAATTTTTTAAAATGATAAATTAAAATATAAAATTTATAAAGTTATATTATTTATAAATTATAAATAATGCAATAAATTTATTGGGGTTTCGGTGCAATTTTTATTTTTTTAATATATTTCTACGTATGTCAGTAGAATTTAAATGTTTTAAAAGGAAAAAAGAAAGTACTAAGCGCACAATCCTCAAAAACTTTACAAGTCATGAAATACATGGAATACCATAACTAATTCATTTCTTAGACTCCATATATAATACATGGAAACCACACTAAATTTTATATTTTAATCTATCTTGTGCATCCGCATAAAAAAAAAAAAAAGGGAAAATCATTTTCGTAGGTATTTATAGTTTTCTTCTTTTTTTTTTTTTTGCTAAGCATAGGGATCCACCTATTGGAGACAATCCTGTTTGAGACACTATCAGACACTAACTGTAATCACCTCTCTTAGTCAGAATTTGAATTTTGATTCGTCACATTGTGAAGGATTAGTTTCTTCTACTAGACCCAATCCCGTTAGTATCTGTATATTTTTCTCTCATAATTAAACACTATAATTTGGTTATATATCAGCATCATTAGCTTTTGTGTAGAGGCTAACAGTACTAACAGAGCAAAGTACAAAGACTAACAGTGCTAACAGAATAAAATTAGAGGTTTTAAGAGAAAAAACACACATGTATCAAATTAAAAATTGAAAAAAAAAATATAGGTATGTACAAAGTGGTTTTTTTCCAAAAAAAATATATTTATCTAGTTGGTTTGTATTACGTTTGAATGTGTTTCTTGGTCATTGTATATATAAGTGTTGTAGTAGTAGTTAGTATGCATACACTATACATTGTTTCCCCCAATAAAAAATTAAAGAGCTTCTTATAAAATAATTATGAACTTCTTGTTGGAATGTCTTCTTCAACTTGACTCCACTCTGTGTCTCAATATATGATCTGGCGTTTTCCTACAGATCAATGTCCCAAACTTTGTTATTAATCTATACAACTATACACATCTATCTATCTATTTATTTATTTACATGTTTCTCTATTGTTGTGAGATACCTACGTACCTACCTTCGTTTCACAATACTAATTAATTCAATCTTCAACATTTTAATATTCTTGGCAAGCGCAGCCAATTAAATTGGGACTATTGGCTTATCCTAACACCCTTCTCGTGCAGCTTTTAAATTTACCATTAATTTTTGTTTGTTTTTAAAAAATAGAGGATAATACTGTCAAATTTTAATTAATTAATTATTCTTACTTGTCTCATAAGAATGTCGAACTCATACGAGACTTCAAAAATATGATATTTTTTTAAATGCATGCGCGTTGGGTTTGGTAAGCAGAGAGGGGGGAAAAGTAATAATTAAAGCAACAAACATAAACATTAAACAATATAATCATTTGCCCCTTTGGTCTTTCCAAAATATAACCTTATCCTTTCTCTCTTAATCCATCTTTCTATCTCTCTGGTCCACCGTAATTTTTTTTTTGGAGAGAAAATTATTATGAGGTTTGAAAAAATAATATAATTATACTAAAAATCCTAATAACAAGTGAGCAGATCTCATAATCATTTTCTGGATTAAAACTTGTTACTAACTTATTATGAGACATTTCAGTAATTATATATTTTTATTGGAATGAACATTGATTTTCCCAAACTTTAGATGATATACAAATAACTCATTTAACGTTTAAAACTTATAATAAACTTCCCCAAACATTCAAGTCCACACATATTTCCCAATCATTAACTGTATATTTTGTTAGATTTTATTTTTATGTGCATATAATTCCCTCAAATTTTAAGTTGTGTGCGGCTAAATAAAGAACAAAACTAATCGTAGGACAATTATACGCGCACACACAAACGTTAAAAATTTGTGATACTCAAATCTGATTGAAATACCATTAAAATCATCATGTTTTTAGGATACTCGTAACCGAATAAAATTGAGGGAGAGGGCGATATGTATACTAACTGGTCCTAAATATAAGAATTAATTAGTGATGCAATTTGGTCCTAATTATCCTGGTAAAAAAAATTAGTCCTAATTATAGGATTCCAATTTACTTTGTTTCTCATATTTATTTATTTTCTTTAGAGTGGTTCTCATAATGATTGCAGACATTAAATTATTTTTATTCTTATGCACGTAATTAATAAGGGTATTTTAAGGAAGATAACACCTATTTATTACAAATAAATGACTTAACTAATTTTCTTAATATTCACGAATTAATTATCTAGTTTTATGTATTAAAGACATAGTATACGTCTTTCCTTAATGATAGAAG